ATATTTCGTATAGTTTTAGATATTTTCATATCTTTGTATAAAAACTGTATAAACTTGATGTGAGTCAGATTGGCTGATGGTCTTTAAAAGACTTATTTAATAAAATGTTTTTAATCTTTCAGCAACACCTTCCACAAATCCATTTGTAGCTGCCCCTGTTGCCCCAGTGGCACCTTCAACAAATCCATTCCAGACCAATAGCCGAGGAGCAACAGGTTAGAAAAAAAACTATTAGGTGTTTGAGAAACTTTCTTTCAAGAATTGCCATGATTTTTTTTTTCCTGTAACTGTGTAATTTGTTTCTTAATTATTTTCCGTATTTCTGTCTCTAGTATATTTGACATGTTGTGTGTTTATTCAGTGTCGAGGCTCAATTCTAGGATTTCAAATGGTGGCCATGAAAAATGTCAAAGTGATGTGTTTGAGCTCTGCCTATTTGTAGTTTGTGTATTACCAGTTGGGTACCTTCCAAGACTATAACCTTGGCTTTGAAGCATGCTTTATAGCAGGTTGCCCTGAAATTAGGGATCTTGAAAGCCCTGCAGCTAGCATGGTAAACTCCTTTGTAAAATTAATTTGTTTATTTCAAAGTGCTGAAAGCTCTCAAAACCAAAGAGCTGGAGCTGGAACCAGGAAAGACAAGGCTCTTGGACTGTTAACTTCTCACCAGTCCACTTACTCAGTACATTGGTGTTCTCTTTTGTAAAGTGTATGTTTAATCTTTACACTCATTTATTATATTAATTTTCTGTGGGAGAATTTTGTAGAATTCTAATTCCATAGGCAAAACTAAGTCACTTTTTAAAAAAGCAAACTTGTACTTCTTTAAAACATTGAACTTGGATTTAGATGGCTGCTAGGTTATTCTACTTTTCTTCTCCAGGGTCAGTGCTAAATTTTGACACTTTTATCTATTAGCTGGACTTCCAGAGATTAAATCTGCTGATGTGTGCATTTTGACATTGAGTTTTGGCTTACTTGGTGATTTAGGTAGGCTGAATTAAACTGATCAGGCTGAGTTAAAACTGAATTGATAAATTCATGTTCTCTGCTAAAATTAATTCTGGTTTTAGTGCCTTTTGAGATATTGTGCAGCTAAACTTGTTCAGATATCTTTCAAAAATCTTTCCCCTTACTTTAATCTCATTCCAAACTGTGCTGTTTTGGATCATCGTTAAAAATTTGTAGCCTCCTTAGATAAATTTCTTTGAAAATGGCAACTCTATCCTTCCATCTTCTAAACTGCTGTCCTTGGCTTGCTGAGGTTCCAACCCTTTGGCAGCTGTCCTGATGTTATGAACTAGGTGACAAAGATAATGGCTATAAGGAGGTGTGAAGTGTTAACTTGTAGCTTGTCTTTTATGTTTTCTTGCTGCATGAACTTTGCTATTTATTACATGGGAGATCTGTTTTGTAGTGTTTATTCCTAATGTTTTTTTTAGCTTAATCAATTGCTGGTATGGATGAATTGTTTGGTACATATACATGTTTTTATCTAGATATTTATAACTAAGAAATGACTGTTCAAGAGTGTATAAATGATTTGACATTGTCTGGTCTCTTTGTGGCTTCCATAAGGCCTCTCGGGAGCAATGCACTCTCACATATTTCCTCAGGCTCATTTTGGTAGGTGGCCACATTTGGTATCAAGTTTCTTGTGGCTAATTGTTCTTGCCTGTAAAAGCTTATTGATACCTATCTGGTTCTCTGCACAAAGAATTTTGGAAGACTTTGTATTTTAAAAGGGAGCGGGTGTGGGTATTTGGCAACCGGGCAAAGGGAGAGAAGAGCGTACATGAGACAACCTGTTGAGAAACCAAAACAAAACCATTATTGATATCCTCCATGATCACAATATAATGCTAAAGAGTGACTCTTGAAGTTTCTACCAACAACAGTTTGATGCCTTTTGGGATATCCCAAGTCACTGCTCCTTTTGTTGTGCTTTTGTTTGCTGTTTTTAGCAAGTTTGCCTGTTGAGTAGCTCCTCTGCTCACTGTAACTCGAGAACAGTGTTAGTACATCAGTTTTGTGTGCACTTTGTCAACAGTTTATGTATGTAAAATGTCTTGCCCTTGAATATTTTTGGGGTAATTTTTTCAACTGATAATTAAGCTATATTCATTAAATTAATTTTATTAACTTTTTTAAACAGTTGAGCTTGCATAAAATCTAACTTGTAACATTTCAAAAAGAAGTCCTGTCTAACTAGCATAGAATACCTGGTGTCTGTGTTCGTACCAAAAATCCTTCTATACCACTTCTCCTTTCAAGAATAACTCCCAAAAGACTGAATAATGGTTTTGTTATTACGCTTTTACACCTATTGTGCTCCTGTTTATTTGCTGAAGGCACATGGAAATGCCTCTGAGCTGCATGTTATTTACTTGAAATGTTCAGCAGAGAATCAGATGAAAAGTTTTGGGTTTATTTGTTGTTTTAAGTCCTACCTCAACAGTAAGAGGGTTTGCAGTAGGAACTTTGTGTGCAAATAATGTGCATGGTGAGAATTTCCTTTAACGTGCCATTAAGGATGGGATGAAGAAAGGGGATGCATGTATCCCTTTGATTTGTTTTTGTTATTGATTTGTAACCTACTGTAGTGCAACTTGAAGTAGGAAGATGCTTTCATGCTCTCCTCAGAAGGAGAAAAAGAGTGGCTTAGGCTGCCTGAACGTGCTTGATTCTGGTGTGTACAGACTTCTACCAGAAAAACTCTGGGGGAAGTATATGATAACATAGAGAACAAAAAATAATTTCCTTTTCAGAAAGTATATCTGAGTGTGCTGGATCTAGTAAATTTTAAATGACTCCATTAATTTTTAAAGTGTAAAAGTAAATTATGCACCTAGTTGGTGGTGATCCAAGTGAGAAAATCAGTTCAGTGGCTGTAGAAGTTGAACCAACCTTTGTTTGGTTAGGAGACTTCTAACACGGCATTATAGTAATTTGTTGCATGGAAAAAGTGGTTTCTTACAAATAATTGAATGTTATTTTTTGCCTATCAGCAGCAACATTTGGTACTGCATCCATGAGCATGCCTGCAGGATTTGGAACTCCTGCTTCCTACAGTCTTCCTACTAGTTATAGTGGCAACTTCCAGCAGCCCACGTTCCCAACCCAGGCAGCTTTCCCTCAACAGACTACTTTTGCTCAGCAGCCAAATGGTAGGTCTGCATGTTTTAGATAATCTTGTCTAAATCGGAAACATAAAGAAAATGATCTGTCTATAAGTTGGCAATAATGGGTGCATATTTATTTCTCTTCATGAACTTGGTAGTAATGTTGATGAGGGGTTCCCACACTTTTTTGGCTCTGTAGTTGAACTTTCTAACTTGGCTGTGTGCACTTGTGCAATGACAAAACTGAAATTTTAGTAAATTTTACTAGAATTGTAAGTATTCCCAGACTTAAAGGGTTTTTAGACAAGAAGGGCTTTTTTAGAGTGTCTGCAACACATTGTTACTTTCTCTAACTTCATAGAACACAAGCAAGAGAAAATTGGAAAGTATTTTCTCCCTAAATTTATATGATACAACAACATTGAAAAAAGTGTATATGCAGAAATTGGAAATGGATTAGTTACGAACAGTTGAAAACAACCAAAGCTCAGTCACCATTTTTTAGGCTTATGTTTGTGATAATGTTTAAGTAGGATCAGTCCTGCTGATTCTGCAGTTCAAGCTTCCACTTATATTTGAGTGGGAGCTGCACCAAAGAACTCTTGAAAGATTGTTTACTAGTATTAATATTTTTCACTTATCTTTCCAAGGAGCAGGTTTTGCTGCATTTGGGCAAGCAAAGCCTGTAGTAACTCCTTTTGGACAAGTTGCAGCTGTTGGAGTATCTAGTAACCCTTTTATGGTGAGTGAGTTGTTGCATGGTATTAATAACTTCTGTATGTCCAAAGAAGCATAATCTGTAACACTTAATTTAGAGATACACAAAGATATTGGGGTTTTCTTACTTCAAGTAAAGAGAAGCAGCGTGTGACTCTGCTAACTGCAATTCAGTGTTATGATGACATGGCATCTGTTCAAATCAAAACAGAGGTACTTGGATACTATGTTCTTACAGTAGTGTAATTTCAGAGAAGCAGCAAAAAATAGACTGCAATTATAAACCAGAGATATTTCCCCATAGGTTATTTTCTTTTTTATATATTCTGCATTTATGATTTACGATATGGAAAAAAAGTCTAAAATACTTGCCTTATTTTTGTTCTGTCCTTTTCCCCCAGGCTGGTGCACCAACAGGACAATTTCCAACGGGAAGCTCATCAACCAATCCTTTCTTATAGCCTTATAGACACTTTACCCAAAAGAACTCTTATGTGGTCACATAACATCTCTGCGCCTCTTGCACTGTTGTCTTGTTTCACTGATATTAGCTTTAAACACAAAAGAAGTCTTTAAGAAGTAAAAATAAAAGCCTGCATTGTGTACCTTTAAAAAATTTTAAAAAGGAAAAAAAAAACCCCAACACAAACAAAATGAGAAAACCAACCCCCCCACCAGGTAATAACGTGCAAAACAGAGGGCTGTGGTAACATCCTTGAACCTGTGAACTGGCAGGTAAAAAGTAGCGGTATCATGTATATTAAAATTGGCTAATAAGTTATTGCAGATACCACATTCATTATGCTGCAGTACTGTACATATTTTTCTTAGAAAATAGCTATTTGTGCATATCAGTATTTGTAACTTTAACACATTGTTATGTGAAAAATGTTACTGGGGAATAGATCAGCCACTTTAAGGTGCTGTTGTATCTCTTGGAATGAATGAGCTGCATCATTTTAACCGTTGGTATTGGAAGTCATGAAGTTAAATTGAAGGTTTGTTCATTTCTCAAAACGTTTTCCTTTCCTAAGAGCTATTCTATTTATACATGCCTAAATCTCTAATGTTAGAGGGATACCTGTCTGCATAATAAAGCTGATCATGTTTTGCTACAGTTTGCAGGTGAAAAAATAAATATTAGAAAAAACAATTGTGTAGCATTATTTCTGTGCAGTAACATTTATTGGATGAAAATGTGCATCCTGCAAGTCTTGTACACAGATGAGGTATCCAGAGAATGAGTTAAGCTTAAAATTTTTACATGCCTCACTTGGAAATGTTTCTTTGTATCCTGCAATGGAGTTTGCTGTTCTAGCTCAAGTGAAGTGACCTGTCAAACAGGAGAGTGTTAGATGAGCTTGGGTTATTTGGATAGAATATCTGTAGTGAAGGACACTGAAGCAATGCAGAGGGTAGTCACTCAAGAAAGGGTTTGCTGCAAAAGACACCTGATTATGGGTAACTAGTTGTGATGAGAACAGAATGTGTGACAGCAGGACAAGGTACCACAGATGTAATAGCACTTTTTATTAAAAACTGATATATATTAGTAAAAACTCCTCTGGAATATTAAATTCGTCACTTTTAAATTTACAGCAGTGTTTCCTGCCTTACTAGAATGGAATTTGTAGAGGGGGTAAAAATATCTGACTTGTATAGTCTGTAATAGTAATAAGGTTTGAGAAAATGTGATTGTATTAGAGTAGTTGGTGATGGTGTTTTAAACACAGAAATAATTTGACTTCAAGTGTAATACTGGAACTAAGCAAATAATATAAATATATCATGAAAACATAAACTGCAAGCTTAAAGGTTGTGGAGAAAAAATTTTACAGCTTTCAGGATAACAGGAATAAATAAGGTGAGGTTGATTTTTTTTTTTTTTTTTGAAAAAGGGTATATAAGCCCATTTGAGATAACCATGACAATTCTTGAAGGTAAGACACTCCACTTTTAGTTTACTGCCTCAATGTTAGATCTGTTTATTTCTAGGACATCTGAAAGGCTTGAGCTCTGATTGTAAAATTATTTAAGGTAATGCTTTTGACTTCTGTTGCCTGCCTACCTGGGCAGGAATTTCTATTTTCTTCTTCTTTTTTTTAAACTTTGGAGATCCCAAGCAAGGACAGGCAGCTCACGCAACAAGCTGCCTATAGTAGCTTTCCTTAACTTAGTGTCTGGATTTGTCCTGTTGTCATATTTAAAGTTAAAATAGACTTGAGGTCGGTTTTTTCCTTCTGATGAAGACTGCTGGGCAGAGTATGGTGTACAGTTTAATTCCCAAGATTCTCTGGGAAATTCACTAAACAAATCCCCCAAAATTGAGGGTTTCCAGGGTGTTAGTGATGCCCTTGCTCTCAACACTGTATTTTATCACAGTATAAATAGCTGTAGTTCTTTCCTGTTGTCAGCCTTAGCTGTTTTGGGATAGTAACAGGTAAGTGCAGTAGAGTGGGGAACTGCAAGGGCTTGTGATACACTTATATGTGCCCAGTGCAGGGAACTGGACCAAATCAACCAAATGTCCTGAAAATGAGACAGATGGTGTTGTGAAAGGGGAACAATCCTGTGCCTGTTTCACCTCGATTGGTATAAATGAGGCTTTGGGCAAGGGCTGATGAGATCAGCATCTGTTGAAATTGTCCTTATCCAAATGAAGCTGATTCTTGCTGATACCAAAATTGATTTAAGTATGCAAGGCATGTAGTTCTAGAATGCGCTGCAGAAGTAGTGGAATACCTTAGTTTTCATAACTAGGTTAAATGCAGATAAAAGGTTGGCAACCTCCACTATACACAACCACATCTGTTTAGTCTGTGTTCACTAATTTTGCGTTTTCCAAACTCCAGACAAGCAGCTGAAGATCATGTGTTGTTTTGAGTCTTCTGTATGTTGAGCAGAAACTGCCACTGTAGCTGTTTTGTTGATTAGGTTTTAAAAATAGCCATATTTACTAAATGAATTCTTCACCTGCGATTATAAATTTATCTTGGAAGTCTCTGCAGTTGTTCACACCATTGCTCATGCATAGTTGCCAAAAAGCTGTATTCATGCTTTAGCATCAAAGAACTTCACTTGGTAACTTCAGCCCTCTTATACGGAAATTAATGTGGAGACCTCCTAGATTAGTACTTCAGTCCTAAAATGTCAGCTGTGTGTAAGAAGAGGGTACAGTTGTAGGAGTGGATACATCTTGTTCTGAAAGGCAGATGTGATGTCCAGGTACTGCAGTTGAAAGGTATTTAATGGCTGCAAACATCCAAATACCATGTTGAAACAAATGCTGAAGCAAAAAATTAATTTGGAAGGCACCAAATTTAGTTGGAATTCCTGAAAGAAAGCTATATGATGCAAGTATTCTGCCCTCTTGAAGGGAAAACTTACTGGGACATGAAAATGAGCTCAAGTAGCTTTTCAAAACTGTTCTGAAAGGAATTGATGATTTTTACTTTCTTTTGTGAGATGAAGTGGGTCGGTTAATTCTGAGTCTTGACGAATCTCTAAGTCGTGGTAAAGGAATACAGTGGAATTTACTGCTGTCTGGTACAGCTGACTAGAAAGTGGACAGTTGGAAGAACATTCCCTAATTAGCTTTAGTTATATTTAAACTTTAAGTCATGTTATTTAAGACTGTTCTGTATAGCAACTGAAGTGTCTCCGTGTGGTTTAAAAATAAGTTAGTTTAGGAGGCTCTTTGCTTCCAAAGATAAGTGTGTGTGGGTCATGGCAGTTGTTGGATATAATTATTGCATATGCTTATCAAGGCAGACACTCTAAGGGAAGGTCAGGGTGTTGTGTTCATGCTCCTTCAACAAACTCACGGTAAAGCTGTCATTGCATCAGTAGCAGTTGATCTGTATATAATGACATGTTTTTCCTTACAGTGCTGTCACTTCACATTTCTGAGGAGTGCATTGTCTGTGTGGAATCTGAAATGCCTGCATTTGACCATTGGGAAAGTGACAGTATTGCTATACTAAATCACATGGTAGTAATCCAACATTTGAGTAGCATCTTTTGGGGAAAAAATTGTTTATTGCTATTTGTTAACTTGTTTCAAAAATCTATGTCACAACTTACAGTTGAAAAAGTGTTAAGTTTCCTCTGTGGCAATCTTTCCAACAGATATCTTGCTGCCAGGGGCAAATGTTGCTTTATATTCCTTAGGAATGTCTGAAGGTCTAAATTGCCTTTAACTGAAATACTCAGTAGAAGTGAAATTTCAGAGGTTCTGTAAGTTCTTCTGGTGTGAAGTTCAGGCACCTGCCTGTAATTGTTCTTGCGGAGCATTAATCAAAGTTCGGGTGTCGATCACTAACTTTGAGTTAAACTACTGATGAAGAAAACAGGCAAAATGCATTGCTGCTGACAAAGCTGTCTGTGCTGTAGGCTCGTTAACAGCCTGCTTCAGCCTGCACCAGTTTTGCTTGATGGAACATTATATATTGTTGTTCAGGTGATGGAGCCTTCTGCACTGTTGCTTGTAACCGTTCTTGTCTCTGTTGTTAATGACCAGTGCTTTCCCCAGCCGCGCTGGTATTGCTGCGTTTGATGGAGATAATGGTGTATGTGCTTCTGATGAGGAAAATTCCAGCTATGACTGCAAAGTAGCTGCCATAAATGAGAAACTGGGAAATGGAGGTGGGAAAGAAGGAGGAGAAAGAGTCAAAAACTGCTTTTGCCGTTACATAATAAGAGGTGTCCCTCCACTGCTGCCCTCCCCTGTCACCCGTGCCCAAAATGATCCCATTTGAAAGGACTCGAAGTCTGACTGCTTGATTACATACTGTAGGAAGTTTGAGGTTGTAAAAGGGGGAGAGAATATTCTGTAATGGGCTTGCCTTCCCTACCTCAGTAAGGGAGGATAACAGTCCTGCACTTGTGTCTCTTCTCTGCAAAGATGAAAGCTAGAGACTTGGACCTCATTTGGGACATAAGTATCAACTTTAAGTTTAGAGACTTAGTGGGCAATTAAGTTAATTTTCAGAATTAGAGTAAATTTTATGGGCAATTAAGTTAATTTTTAGAATTAGAGTAAATTTTATGGTGCATCCACTGGAACTGTCTTACTTAGAATTACCCTAATAAAGGACCCATTGATTGCTTTTTAGTTTGGTTCCTGCTTCTAGTTAGGGTATTTTGACAATAAATTTGTGAATAGTAAGCCTTTAATTGCAAAAATACTCTGAGTAATAGATGGTGGTCTTTCCTCTCTGTTCTATGAAAATATTCTCAAAATTATAGCAGAAAAGCAAAACTGAGAGGACTGGAGAATGAGTCGTAGTAGCTTATAGCAGTTCACTTCAAATGAACTTTTTTTTCCAACTAACTGGCCTAAGCTCACACATTACCTGGTATCTTCACAAAGGCTAGTCTTGGAGCAGAACCCACTTTCTGAGAAGAGTAGGGGGACTGAGAGCAGTCATGTAGCTTACCTGAGTGCTGATATCCAGTCCCAGACCTCTTGAATCTACTACAATAACAGTTAAAATTGTTTGAATCACCAGTGCAACAAAGTTGTTGAAGCCAAACATCAAAGCATAACGCTCCATGCTCAGGTTGACAGCAATCTGAAACCTGCCAATGAATGCACAGGTTGGCCAAACTATGGAGAGCAAGGACGTGTGCACTTTAATGTGCACAGTGGACTCTTCAAAGGACAGTCACTTCAGTCTTGGCTATTAAGCTTTAACAGCTTCAATTTGGCAGAAATTCCTTGGTTTTTCTGGCTTTGTGACTTTTGTGCATCCTACTTACCTTTTACTTGAGTGGATATTTTTGTCGAATACTGGTATATATTTATTTGATCATGTATAGAACACTTGTACATAGATCATTAAACAGCGAAATGCAGAAACTACCTTGTTCTGACAGGAACTGTATTATTGTAGTGATTAGGTCATATAATTTTAAGCATAGTTTTACACAGGCTAGGAATAATGTATGCTGCTGTCATAACCTAGTTAAAATTTATTTCTAGGGAAACTTCCAGTAAAATTTTGATAAATTTAAAAATTTGACACAGATTTAAATCATTTTAATTAGAACAGTTGTGTATTGTACTTACGTTGCTGTTGTTATAAGGAGCATATAGCAAGCCTTAAATGCAAGGTAACCAGCATAACATGCCCAGATGTTCCCAGTGAAGTACATGAGAAACAGAGAACCAGCATCCATTGCAGAGAAAATTCCCAAGGCCAGTTCTCCAGAGAGATCCCAGTTCACTTTGACGTATCCAACTGCCATGGATGTTACTGAACCTAAAAATTGAAAAGTACTGATTAAAACTCTGAAACATTATTATCCTTGAGAACCATTATATAACTGTGTAGCTGGATCATGCCAGGAGCTCTTCAGTCTGTTACAGTCACAGTGGGCTCTGATACTGATGTGGTTTATATTTCCTATTAGTGGTGTGGGAGTCTTCCATTTGTTTGGGTGTTTTTCTCCTTGCTTACAGATCCTTCACTGACTGAAGTGCTCTGGGAAAGTGCCTCATGTCCAAGGCTGGAGGCAGCAGCACACAATCTATTGTTGTTTCTTGTGGTTTTTGACAACTGAGCAAAGAGAAGAACAATCTCACCAAGCATTTTCTGCCAAAATAGGTATAATGAGTTCTCTTACTTCATGTAAAGATCTTTATGAAATGAAAATCTGTTGTACTTCACGTTTGCTTTTTCTGAAAGTGTCTTTTCAGTTTCTGGTGAAAAATCTTGTGAACTGCATTTGCCTTATTGACCATCACTTAACAAAACCCTGACTTGAGTGCATCATGGTGTAGCAAACTCCGTGTTTTCAGACAGGTTAGGACTTTGTTTGCTGGTTGTATGTGCTCTTCATCAGAATTCCTTAAGTTAGAGCAAACCAACCCCTTTGGTCCATCTGTGCTGTAAGCAGAGATTTCCAGTACTGTGAGTGCCTTCTGTAGTCTGAAATAGTGTCAAGTGCCAGAGAGTGTAAAAGCAAGAAAGTCCTGGGGAACACTACTCAGAACAGTAGTCTGAGTAGTTCTGGAGTAGCTTCAGTAAAACAGATTTTCATGCTGATTGCAGGGAGGAAAAGTAAACTGACAATTCCTTGTGGAAATGTGGGACGAGGCTCTTGGAATGAAGGGGGAGACAGATGTGTAAATGAGACCTCGAAAAGGAAGCTCCATTGGTACTGCACAGTCATGTAAAAGAAGTTTCACTTTGGCCATAGCCTTCTGTTCTGTGGCCAAAGAGAAATGTCATTGGGATGGACCAAGGAACTAATGAGAGATGGATGGAGATCACCTGGCCCTGCTAAAAGCTGAGTCAGCTAAAGCAAGCTGCTCAGGATGCTGTCTAGGTTTTCAGTATGTCCAAGGATGGAGAGTCCACACTTCTGGTCAACCTGTTGCTGTTTTAAATCACCCTTACAATAAAAATGTTTTTATATGTTGTAGTGAAACTTTGAATCACAGAATATGCTGAGTTGGAAGGAAGCCACAAGGATCATCGAGTCCAAGCCCTGACCCTCCACAAGAGCATCCCCAAGAGTCACACCATGTGCTTGAGAGTATCGTCCAGATGCTTCCTGAACTCTTGTCAGGCTTGATGCTGTGAACCACTGCCTTGGGGAGCGTGTTCAGTGCCCAACCACCCTCTGGGTGAAGAACCTCTTTCTAATATCCAACTTAAACCTCTCTTGACACAACTCCTGTCACTGGTCACTACAGAGATCAGTGCCTGCCCCTCCTCTTCCCCTCAGGAGGAAGTTGTAACTGCAATGAGGTCTCCCCTCAGTCTCCTCCAAGCTGAACAGACCAAGTGCCCTCAGCTGCTCCTCACACGGCTTCCCCTCAAAGCCCTTCACCATCTCTGTTGCTCTCTTTTGGACACTCTCTAAGAACTTAATGTCTTTCTGATATTGTGGCACCCAAAACTGCCACAATATTTAAGGTGAGGCCACCACAGAGCAGAGCAGGACAATCCCCTCCCTCAGCTGGCTGGTGCTGCTTTGCCTGATGCCCCCCCTCCCCCCCGGACACAATTGGCCCTCCTGTGCTGGATTTTGTGCCTCTTGCTTTTTGTCCTGTCACTGGGCACCACTGGGAAGAGCCTGGATCTGTCCTTTTTGCTGTTCCCCTTCAAGTCTTTATGCACATTAATGAAATCCCTTTTTTTCTCAAGGCTAAATAATTACAGTGCTCTCAGTCTCTCCTTGTATATCATATCCAGAGGCAAACTTGCTGATAAGGATATAGATGCAGCACAGAATATTTGCTGAGGAGCACTTAGCCTGAAATGATCTTTAATCTACTGTCTAAATAGACCATTTAGAACAGTGTATCTGTTAGTGTGTTATTTTAATTCCTAAACTTGCCAGCTTAAGGTGTATTTGAGGGAGGTATATACAAGGTTAGTTGCGCAGACTTTCAAAGTGCTTGGGGTTAAATTCATGGTCTAAACAGAGCTGTGAACTTAAACTCTTAAAGCACTTAGGTGGAATAAGGTTCCTCTAGAAAGAAAAAGCTTTTTTTTATATATGTATATGTATAATTTTTGAGAAGCCCACTGATAATAAGTTAATAGAAAAAAACATGCTTTGCACACTATTTGGGTGTTATATGTCAGGCTGTTGCTGTTGACCCTGGTCCTCATATGAGATGGAAAGGCACCAAAGGCATGCTGAAGAATGCCTTAGAGCAGGGTGGGTTACTTATTTACTAATTATCTTTTACTTACCTAAAAAAGTTGCTAGTGCTTCGACAGCTCCATTGTACACTGCAGAGCTGTGAGAGGGGGCTTGGAAGTCCCACAGCACTTGGATATAATTCAGGACCTGATAAAAGCCAGCCGTAGCCAGAGCCCACCACAGGGACCAGTAGAGAAGTTTCCTGGAGCTGTAGCAATCCCTCAGGTCCTTGCTCAGCTGCACCAGCACTCTGAGCATGTGATTCCGGGGCTTGGCATTCCCAACCTGCTGTTGGGGTGTTGGGCTCCTGCCAGCGGAGTCGGAGCTCGTGTCCTCTTGGCAGCTCGAGGGACGGTCAGAACCGGCCGGAGCCGCAACTTTGTCAGGCCCTGGGAGAGACTGGGAGGCATCTTTCCTGTGGAAGAACATGCTCTTCTGGGGCATGGGGAGGAAAAACGCACACAGGAAGGCCAGGGCCACGGAAGCCAAAGAAATGGCGTTGAGGTAGAAGTAGGACACATCTGCCAAGGACACCAGCAGCTGTCCCAGCACGGCGGCAACAGTGGCTGCCACCAGAGTGCTGCTCCTGCAGTAGCTCGTCACCCTCTGGTAGCGGTCGGTGCTGACCACGCTGTAGATGTAGGCGTAATAGGCCACCTCAGTGGCCGTCACCATCCCGTAGAAGAATTCCACCACCTGCATGGCCAGCACTCCGTGTGCGAAGAGGAGCAGGAGCCAGGTGACGATGAGGCTGATGCCCTGGAGGAGGAGGACAGGCTTGTAGCGCAGGTAGTCTGTGAGCAGGAAGACTGGGAACAGGAGGGCGAGGTAGGAGTATGTCCAAACAGGCAAAATCTGGTTGGTAACCTAGAACAGAAGAAAGAAGGAAATATTTAAAAAAAACCCCCAAGCACATAAAATACTGATTTTTTTTTTTTTTAGATTTACAGTTATGTTATTGAGGAAGCAACATAGTTGTGGTCACAGGAAACACTGAATTATGTAAACAGTGCAGACTTAAACTGCTTTCAGTTACATTACTGTAAATGTGCTACATAAGGGGCAAAGATAGTGATGTACACTCTGCTACAGAAACGGGTGGATTGGCTTAAAAATTCCAGTAAAAGCCTATAAAGAAGGCAGATTTTGATATCCGGCTCTTTAAAGCATTTGTAACTGTGTGTCAGAGGAAAGGCTGTCTAGCTTCAAATCCTATTCCCCACAGTAGCTGGAAATGAACGCCTGTTTAGTTTTAACTTTTTACATGAGTCATTGTATACCTTTGGTTACCTCTTTCCCTTGTTAAAATTGGACTGAAAAAAGCAGCACGTGCCTCGTACAATGTCACTGGAACTGCACATAGTGAATGTGTAGCTGCTACCAGGTTTTCTGCACCGTCTATGTTTTCTTTCAGTTTAATGTGTAAGAAGTAAGCAAGTCTTTGAGGAAGCAGTATTTCAGTAAGTTTCAGCTGGACTCGAGTATATAGATGCTCTGAAAAGAAATTCTTTCTCTTTTTTCTAAAACTGTTCTGCATTTGGGTTGGAAGGTGCTGTTTGCAGCCGCCACTAAAGCTCAGTGCTTGCCCAGGCAGTTTGGGTACACCTAGGTCAGGTGTCTGCTTTTAGATGCACATCATAAAATGAGCTTTTTCTGTAAGTTGGCTGTTTTGGGGAGGTCTCACCCAGTAATTATGGGCTCTGCTGGGGGTGTCCGTTCCTGATCACTTGTTCTCTGCTTAAACAGAGACTAGAAAGGAACTGTATGAAATGCTGGAGGACAATAGTAGGTGGTCATCTTTTTACTTCTGAACAGGTACTGGAGTGAGTTGCATGGTGAGCAGCTGGTTCACTGTATCTTTCTGTGTGACTTTTTTTGTTTCTCTGAACTTTAATTAGAATTTCTAAGTGTTTGACTTAAAATTACATTATAGAATTAGCTCACTGGAGGTGAGTTCGGCTGAAAGAACTGTACTACGCTTATTTTTGAGTTAAGGATTCTTGTTGAAATCAGAATTAAGGCATTCTGTGATCCTCATTGTGTATTTTATATAAAACTTCCCTTTGCGATTACAAAAGAATAATAATAAAAAAGGGGGAGAAAATAAACCCTAATGACTTAAACCACAAATACCTTTTCTCAGAAGAAACCTTGGGTGTGCTGGTAGATTCTGCCTTAACATTTGCTACTGCGCAGCAGGAATGACTGTTCTTCATATTAGCTGTATGTGGGTGTACCAAGCTTGTGTTTTCTAATTATACTGTTAGCTCCATGACTCAGCCACGTGTCAACTATGGCACCTTTTCCTGGGAAGTGTACTCCTGAAGCAGCCAGTGCTGAACAGAGGAGCAGAGCAAGAAAACTTGCAGTGCATGCTTTTTTTCAAAAAAACCCCCACTTTTCTGAATGTGAACCTGACCTCCACAGGTTAATGCATAAAACATCCCAGTAATGTAGGTAATAATTTTAACAGCTCATAAGGGGAAGGTTGTTTAGTTTTCTTATGATTTGCTATCAGTGTGTGTCCTGTGGTGGTAACACACTACCACAGTGTGTTAGTGTAATCAGTTCCATGATAAGTATAAATAAATGTCAGTGTTGCCCCTCCTCTGGGGTTCTGCGTTGGAGAGAGGAGTTAGCTGACCTGATTTTGCCAAAAATACCAATCTCTTAAACAACTACCAAAGAGTAGTTGTTTCAAAGTCCTAAGAATGTGGGGTGTTTAATGTTTTGACCTTCTGCCAAAGAGGTGACTCCTTACTCTTTCCCAGAAGCATCTTAAACGTGAGACTCTAGATAAAATATATCTGTATTACTGAACACTTCATCTTCCCTTCAGTTATTGCTGTAAGGCTTAATGCTTTAAGCATTTTAATTATTACTTAAGAGAATAGTTACATACCTCTTCAATCGTTAGGTTTTTGTCTGGCCCCGTTAGATAAGGGGTGAGAAAAGACTCTGATGGCCTCATTGTGGCAAAAAATCCATTTGCACAGATGATCACCGTGGGATAAATCCAGTTGCGGCTTATGGCTTCCTTCCAGGAATCCATAGCCTACCTAAAAGAAAAAAAGATGGCAAAGAAATTAACAGATGCTCTTCACAACTGGTAAAAATTCATCTGCAAGTTTACTTTTTAACTAAACCTACACTGCTGGACCCTTAAGCAGGGGCTGTGATGGTGGCATCCAGTTTAATTGGACACTGGGGGACAGATGGCAATGTGATAGCCAAGGGCTGCCTGGAATGGTGACACAGAGGTTTTGCTGATGTGCAGATGTAACTGTACATCAATGATCTTGAGCTCTCCTGCACAGCAGTGGAGCTGTACACCTGGATCTCCCTGTGGGCAGGGACACCTCTCGCAGTTACTCCTTGAGGTCCAGAAATTTCTTGCCACAACAGATCCTTGGGAAGTGACTAATAGTGTGCTCAGCTTTGAAATCTTGGCTGAGGACTGACTGCACATGTACAATCCTTTAGACATAGGCAGTTGACCAAATCCGGGACTAGCAGTGGGTCTAGCTGCACCTTGACTCCTCTCTACGAGGAGTTTAGAATCCTGTGACTTAACAAGAGGGTCTCCCCGCCAGTTCTGTCTTACCTTGTCCTCTGTGCACTAAGTCAAGCCTACCTTGCTGTCGAGTCTTGTTAAACCACTGCCGCATTTACCGTTGAACTTTGATAGATCAGCAGAGGATATTGTTGTGTCTGTCTCAGGAGTGGAGTGACTCCAGCTGTGACACAGCCTGAGCCAATGTTTCTGTCACTGACCCTGCCTGTGGTCACAGATGCAGCTTGTAAATGAATAACTCAGATCGAGGTGCGTTGGCCGTGGTAAACTCCGGTCTCTGTTATTGTCTGTCAAAGGTTGTTCTCGGTGAGGTACTTAGGGCTGGGTGCACGTGCTGCAGGGGAAGAATGAAGTTCCATTACAGTCTCATTTCCAAATAAATGAGTGGGCAGACTGTGAGATTAAAGCTCATTCTCAGGGTGCTGTTGATATGCAGCCTGAGTGCCAAGTGGCACAATGACAGTGCGGAGTGTTCTCGCAGACAAAAGAAACCACCAGCCAGCTCAGCCCATTGCGAGCTCAGTTTCTTCAAAGTGCTTTAACATTCATCATATTTCTTGCACTCCAGTCATTTGAGAGGGTAGAGAAAGACGCAGAAACCATCTGCTCATGGTACCTGCTCAGACTTTGAAAAGAGAAAACTTGACTTCACTTTTAGAAATGATGATCAAAAGGAAAAGGAGACTTCTTTCTTCACCGTAGTCGGCAGCAAAAAAAGTCTAAAGAGATTTGTTTTTTTAAGCTTATATTACTTGTTTTGCATTAAAAAGTCAATTTCACTGATCCTGAAAACAAGTGAAATAAGAATGTTCTGAATCATAAGGGAATGAAAGCAAAGCACTAACTGATGTTTAATCATGCAGTTACAAGCTATTTCTTTTAAATTGTTGAATTCCACTTTTTAGCAGGCACTTTTTCAAAAGTGTTTCACTTGCACTGTAAGATTGTATTTATTAAAACTTAGCATAAATAGTATGTTATAAAGACAGTATTTCTGTGACCTCAGAGGACCGTTACAAAAACCAGCCCTAATCCTTGAAACCTGATTTTAAATGATTGCCTTTGTTATCATCTTTCTCTTACAAATCATTATATATAAAGTACAGCCTGTGCTACCTTTAACTCAAGACCTAATTTGAAATGTTTTGATATGTTACCTTTTCGAAATAAAAATATATTAAATCCTGGGCTGATCAGTAACATCCCCATAAATGTTTTATCACCTCAAAATGCACTGAGCAAGTGAGTAGCCACCACACTCCCAAATAACTCCAAAGGTAATGAATTACCTGACAAACCTGTGACTGTGGTGCATTTCTCGTGGATTCATGTGCAGTTCCTCCTAGGATGACTTTGTCTTGCAGAGGAGAAGTCAGAAACCACCCTTTAGGTAGTAAGAAATTTCTGTGTCTTTTTTTTTTCTGAAATGTTCTTTCTAAACTTGATGAAATGTTACCAGAATTTAAATAATAATAATACTAACTCATCACAGCTCTTCTTGCTTGCAGAACTTGTCCATGAAGATTGTAGGGGAAGCATTCTCCTTTACAGGTTTTATCAGCAAACTGAGTTGTATTTTTATGATAAAGCTATAATACAGCAGCTAATGATTAATAAAACCTTCCATGGCAAGAAAGCAATCAATGATTGCATTCTTTATGTTAATAAATACCTTTAAAAGCTCTGGTCTCTGATTCATGGATAAGACAGAGCACCAGTTCAGCACAGCTTGGGCTAACACTGGCCCTCCCCTGTGCATAGTGTAGTGGCCTCTGGGCTCATGGGGTCTCTTCTGACCATCCTGGCCTTGCTAGGGGTTGGGAGGTAGGATATGGAATGTCTCATACTATTAGCTGGCCAGTAATTACTTCTGTATAAGGACTGATCTATCATTTAAGGGCAAATAGACAATAAGATGAGCTACTAAATCTGGCTTCTAAGCTAAAAAAAATCAAAACAGACCTGCTTTAGAGAAATGCTGTTGCTTTGCTTTCCTGTACCTGTTTTTTCAGACTGGACTCCCTCTGTCTTCCAGGGTTCGCTAGAGGGTGGAGTGAACCCTGAGGCCGGTGGTAGGATGTGTGTTGGCACTGGCAGTGGGTGCTGTGGCCCTGGCACAGGAGGGGCCCCTTTGTGAGCTCGGCAGGGCCTGGTTTGGTTCTGCAGGTTTGGAAGGTTCTCTCGGTGCTCAAGTGTGTGGTGCAACCAGGCAGGCAAGTGCTCAGGGGGGCCAGGTTTGTCTCTGCACTTCCACCGAGGGCTTCTGAGGAGGGGAAGGAGCCCTGGGGAAGGTGCTGCTGGGTGGGTGTGCTGCCGGCTGGAAGGGGGCTGCTGGCCAGCGTTTCTCTGGTAGCCCTGGCTAGTGGTTGCATGCTTTGAATCCAAAGTACTCTGTTCCTTCCTTGTTTGCCCAAACTGGCCTTACCAGCTTGCTGGACTGTGTCTTCACGTAAGACTTGGGCCCAAACCCACTTATGCTTCAAAGGCAGTTAGTGTTGTATTTCGAGGGGTTGTAGTTATGGGGAGCAACGAGCCCAGCTCTGGAGTTTCATGTTTACATGGAATCCTTTAACATGCTGGAAGAAAGATCAGCACTTAATACTAAAAGTTGCAAGGAGAGGTGGATGTGTTGAGTTTCCTTTTCCTGCAGAATTAGACAGCCTGTAGTTCCAGCCTTGCTTATAACCTGCCAAGCCTCAAGTATCTTCTCTCCAAAGAGTGTGTAGGTACACAAACACACAGGTGGATGTGTGCATCTTACTCTTTTAGATTAAATCTCTCGTTGCTGGGTTAATTCTGATTACTTTGTGTAATCAGAATTAATTTACCCTGTGAAAGTCCAGGGTAAGACAAGGCCTTGCCTTTCTCTTCCTAACGGTCCTAAGAACTGCCCTCTTCCTCCTCTGTTTCCCTCCTAATGCTCCCCCCAACTTCCAAACTCAAAATCTTTCTTTCGGAAATTGGAGAGAATAGGATTAGATTTTTTTTTCTTTAAGGTCTTATCTGTTTTCTGAAGATGGGGCTCTCTACAACTGCAAGCCAAATACACTGTGTCTGCTTGGTTTCTTTGCTCCTCAGTGACATCCCACAAACAGAGAAAGCAATGAGCTCTAATCAGAACATAAGAATTTTCATGGTTCTTTCTACCAGTTTTTCTAGCTTCTTTCCTGCAGCCAACTACTGGCATTATTTTTTTAAGTAATAACAAAAAAGTTTCACATGTTGTTGATTCCTTTTGTCAGATGCTACATGGAAATATTTGTTAACTTTCTGTGCCAAAGGCAGTTTGAGACCATGGTCATGGAGCTGAAAACATTAAGTTCTTCCTTTTTCATTTAAATACAAAGTCTCTTTAACTTCTAGTCAAGGACTGGCACCTACTTCTAAACTAAATGCCTCAAAAGGAGATTCCTACTCACAAGGAAGAATAGAATAAATTAGTCCTTGCTCTTCTGGACTCTGTCCCTCATTCTTCACGCAGGAGTATCGTGCTCTCAGTTCTGCAGCAATAAAAGATACTCACTGCTCAATGCAAACTAAATACATCTGATTTTATGAGTGTATTGATTAAACTGTTCTGCTTAGAGCCAGTTTACAATAGAGAATGTCCACACAATGCACAACAGTAAACAAAAAGCCTAAAAAAACTAACCAGGTTCATTTGTTCAGATCCTACTGATTCTTCTTGTGACTTGTAACAAATTGCTTCTCTCCTGCCTGCCCTCACCTCTGGGCACTTTGTCTGGTTGCAATGTGTGACTGGTATAAAAAGCAGGTATGTCTGTACAAATGATAGCTTGTGTCTCTGCAGGAAAAATATTATTCTGTAAATGCTAGATGTTTTCTATTTTTATTACTTAGGTGTAGGTATTGGAAGCTAGAAGCAAACAGCAGTACAGAAATAACTTTAGTATATGGATATCAATCATATTAAATTAGGTATTCACCATGAAAACTCATTTATAGTCTCTTGTTTCTTCTCCTGGACTAACTGTCCTTTGTGTTGGACTAAATTAGCTGTAGGACTTGAAGTTTCTTGATAAATTCTGAGATGCTGACCCTGCCAAATTCTTGGCCAAGATCAGTGGACCTCCCTCACTTGGCATTCAAAAGCACACATGATGTTTGTTTCAGTTATAAATCTTCTTGGATATTCCTGTTAATCTGGAATTTTCCTGTGTGGAATCAGCCATATTTCTCCACAATGTACTTCTGTAGTTTTAGTCCATACTACTTAAGCCTCTTGATAGCTTTTTTCTTTTCTTGTTGAAATAGAAAGACAGTCAGTCCTGAATTTAATTTTACCGGGAGCACGAGCAAAGGAGAGGGGCTCTTTCATTTTGTTTGGACTTGGAAGTTTCTTGCTTCTCGGCAGAGATTTCTATGAAGTCAGTGAAGTGGTTGCAGCTTTCAAATGTGGGTCAAGCAACAACTGTGGTTTAGCAGTGCTGGAGTGAAACCCCTGGGATGGGATGTGCAAACCCTGCACGAGGCCCCCTCTGACGTGGGCTGTTCAATTAGGCAGGAGGAGCCTGTCAAACCATCTGCCTGCACTTTAGGAAAGAATATAATGATGCAGACACAATCCTTTCTGCCTTTATTCAGAACAAGGGATGTGCAAAGAGAGGACAGACCCTTCACCCACGTGCAGGAGCAAATGTGGTTGGAAACAGCTTTGCCAGCACCACACACAGGAGCCAGAACAACAAGGCAGGATGAACTCTGATCTTTGCTATCGTGCACAGGGAGGAGATGAAAAGGTGGTGGTTGTGCTTCTGGGTATAAATTACTGCTGTTAAGCTCTTTATAGGCAAGTAAATAAGAATTTAAAGCAATTTAGCTTTTATTCTTGGCACAGGGCCGTTATGTGAGCTCTGAGCTGGCATATGTTGTGCTGAAATGCTGCAATGATTCAGCGCAGCTTTCCAGGGCTGTGTTGAATGTTCTTCTTGCACTGCTGTTCCCTGCATGCTGCAGCCTGAGCTCTTCTCCCAGGAGGACCTGGCCAAGGAGCCTGCCTGCCTCCTACAGCCGTGTCAAATAGCCTGTAACAATCTGCTCCCTGGATTCGTGCTCAGCATGGTTCAGCTGCTCTTTGCAACATCTTGCTATTTTCCTTTTGCATTTGCTTGAGACAAGCACACAAATGCTTCTGATCATGAAAATCCCGTGTATGACTGCAAAGTAGCTGCCATAAATTAAAAACTGGGAGAGGGAGAGAAAAAGGCAGAAGAATTAATGAAAAATGCTTTAGGGAAATGCTGCTGCTTCTGGAGACGACAGACACTATGATTTTCTTTACCTGTGTTCTGGCACGGTTTCTCTATGTTCAAGTTTTTGCTTTGTGATTTGCTTTTCCAGCAAACATCAGATATTTGTGGAATGAAGAACTGCCCTTTGCTTCCATTCCTTATGCCTCTTAATAAACATCAGAGGGGGAGCAGAATAGGAACAGATATTTTTTTCTATTAGTGCAAAATATAGAATTAGCTTCGTTACCCACGTAGTCATGAATAATGTAAGTGAAGAATCTGAGTTCATCCTTGTTTTGCTCTTACTTGCACGTTTCAGTGCTGTCACCACAGTGGTTTCTGTAAATACACTGTGACTTTGTATCACTGTTTCCAACAACAGCGGCATGGCTATTTATGAGGTCCTACATATTCCTGCCTTTCATTTTAAAGATTTAATTTTTAATGTTTGATTCAATCCTTATTCTTTTACAATAACTTTTGCCTTCTCTGTGCAGAATAGCTGGATAGCTTTAGTCTTCAAATCCAAGGGAGTAGGAAGCTGCCCAAGCTGAGAGCCCATCTGAGAAAATGCAGAAGTCAGTACATCTCAGGTGACTTCAACATGGGTGGCATTGGGCTGGCTGAAGTCTCAGCCACTGCTGTGAGACAGGATATCCCATCCCAAATTAAGTGCCCAGGCTATGGGCAGAAGACTATTACACATGTTGAGATACAGACCAGGTTTGATCCTGAGCTGGAATTAGAAGTCAGATGTCCCTTTCACTTGAGCTGAAATAACTCCAATAATCCAGGCTGTGTCTCGTGGTTTGAACAGCACTGATAACATGTGGTTATGTTGATTCTGCATCTGACAAAACCACTCTGAGTTTTTAGGGAGAGAGGATGTTATTCTGTGTCCTATCAATGACCAAAACTGGTCAGATAACAGGGCCTGAATAATTATGTTCTGGTGTATCTCCTTTTAACTAGTCAAAGACCAGCATCTGTAATCCTAAATGCATGAAAAGGCAAAAGGAAGAATTACGACTGACCTGAGAGAAGAACAAGATGTGCAGATTTCTATAGAAAAAAGAGGGAATTAAGTTGTCCTTTGGCATAGGAATACCTTTCTTGGTAAACTTTTGAAGACAGATTGGCAAAGCAGTAAATAGAATATAAGGTAATAGCACTTACCTGAGTCACTATGTCCAGCCCCAGGCCTCTCGAATCCACGACAACAACTGTAAGAATGGTCTGAATCACCAGGGCAATGAAGTTGTTGAATCCAAACATCAAAGCATAGCGTTCCATGCTCAGATTGATGGCAATCTGGAACCTAATGTGAGACTGGCAGGTCAGTGACTTTCCAGTTATTGCCCTCCAGTCAGTCAGTGAAGAGAAATGATTCATGGAGATGATACATCAAGGGCACAGTAAACAGTGCTTCATTTGTTTGTTTGCTTCCTTGCTTACTCTAAAATAGAAAGCCTTTAGTACCATAGTGTATTTTGATGGTTTTTTTTACTTGTCTGTGCTGCTTTTCCAAACCATACTATCAGGTGGTTGGTACAATATCAGTTCTCTTTAACCCTTTGCTCCTTCTCAACCCCCACAGACTGTGCCAGACAGGCTGTAAAGTCTCCATGGTTGGGGTCTTTCAGAGACCTGGCCAGGCAAAGCCATGACCTGATCTGGCCGTGGCAGCAGTTCTGCCCTGGCTGGGATGTCAGACCAGAAGGTCACTGTGGGTATCTTCCAACCAAATTTTCTGTGATGATGTGAGTCACTTTTTGCTTTGGGGCTTGACAGTGGAGGTAGCATGCTGTTTATTTCTGTCAAGAGCCTGTAGATTTTACTTGCAATATCTTTTTGATGATAGTTAGAAATCTTTCCCTGCAATATCTAACTGCAGAGTTTATATCTGAACAAAAGGGTATTATTCCTTCAGGACTCACTTTAATTGATTTTAGCATGTTTTTTATGTGCAAGCTTGGACTCTTTTTGTTGTTGTTGGTTTTGGTTGGTTGGTTGGGTTTTGTTTTGGTAGAATATTTTGAAATAGTTCAGGTGTGATTTACTATAATGTGGTAGCAATAAACCAAAATGAAAACAAAGAGTTCACTTGGCTTCATTTGAGAGAGGCATAATCTTGCCATGCATTATAATTTTAGCAGGTTTTTTAAAATGGTTTCTGACTAATTTTGGGTTTTGACATAAAATGCATCTGGTATTTCTGTTAATGAACTAGTGTGGTATGTCTAAAGACATTCCAAGCAATTAAATAACTGGAGTAATAACATATTTATTGCACAGATTAGATATAATATTTGCTATTAATATTATTATTATAGCTTGGTCTCCTAAGAGATCTTGTCCAGTGCTCTCTTTTACTCCTTCTTTACATCCTAATATCTTTAAGTATTATGTGTATAAAATTACATCGGGGAATGCTCTATGTCAAATCTTCTTGAATTCATGCAGTTCATGGCATGCTAAAAGGTTTATCAGCAGGTGGTCTAGACATTATAGGATGGCTGTCAAGGTATGCTTGTCCCTATTGTTCACTTTGCATCTTTCCTGCAGGAAAGAAGGAAAACAGCTGCTGCATTTTGCTGTTACCATTCCCTTTAGTACTAGTTACCTTGTACTTTGTTTAACTTCTGCCTAGTTAAACATTCAATTTTGTGAATATTCAAAAATTTTGATAATTTTTCTTTTGTGGTTGTTTAGAAGAATGAAAACAATATAATCAGACATTTAAGTGTCCTTGTATTTACCTACACAGTTATGTCTAGCATTAGGTCCTCTTTCTCTGAGGAAAAGGAGGGATGCCCAAAGCAAACTGGAGGTAGGGTCAGCATTCTGTGCATAAAGGCAGCACTGTCAGGTTTTATACTTACGTTGCTATTGTCAGGAGGAGCATATAGCAGGCCTTGAAAATGAGATAGCCAGCATAACACGCCCAGATGTTGGTAGAGAAGTGCATGAGAAACAGAGAACCGGCATCTACCGCAGAGAAGATCCCTAAAGCCAGTTCTCCAAACAGGTCCCAGTTAATTTTCATATATTGTACTAGGAAAGACGTTACTGAGCCTAGAAAAAGAGAAAAATGTGTAAATGTTGTATGTGTTCCATAGCCTGTATCATCAAATCTTGCCACCCTCACGTGCCAAAAGGCAATACCAAATAATGAAGTGTAGTTCTGAAATTTGAAAGCATTTCTGATGACTTCTGCAGCCATGCAGATGACTAGTCACTTTTAGACAACTGCATAAATCAAGTCTCTGCCATTCTGTTCTTAGTGCTTTATTCCACTTGACAGGATAAACTGTAATGTAGAAGGATTGATTATTTGGCTGTCTGTACCCAGCACGTATCTCTAGGGAGAGAACTGGGAACACAGTTTGGAAAGTTTCTTCCAGCTTCTAGCTTACTGCACAGCTAGGCTAGTAAACCTGCTAATGTAGCAATTTAGCTCTGTGCACCTCATAAAGGAGGTAAGCTGCCAAAAATGAATTTTGTGAGGTATCAGGAGAGTGTATCCAAGGAAAAGATAAAGGATAAGCACTGTTTGCTCTTGGTGGGCCTCCTAGAAGGTGCATCTGTTGCAAAGATAAGCCACCTGATTTAATATCTTCTGTACTTCTATACGGAGAAACAGGCAATTCTATGACAAAGAGGAATTAATCAAGGAGAAAAATATTCTAATTCATGATTCACTTGGTCTATTTAATTGCCTGCCTCAAGACAAGAGTAGTATCTATTTCTCCTTAATGACTGTAAGGATAACCTGAATGACTAGGTGTGATGTAGACATGTTTATTTTCCCTGGTGGATCACACCCCAAAGTCCTGTGCAAGTTCTCTACAGCAGCACAATGTGATTATGTGAAACCCTGCCAAGGTAGGGTGGTGTTCTCTGATGTTACCTTTTGATAACCTCACTTTGCTTGTGTGGTGTGAGCCTCTGCTCCTGGTGCAAAAGTGGAATACTTAACATCAGTCGCGTAAGGAATTCAATGGGGTCTTTTTCTGCAAATCTCTGCATCTTGCAATGACTAAAATTCTTCTTTTTTTCTAGCTGCACAAGAGTATTTCACTAGAAAAAGATCTTAATTAGAGGATTATGTTCTTTTGGTGTAAAATATTTAGGAATAACTTCTCCCATCTGTGTAAGCTGATAGCATTGTTATGGGAACAGTGCCATACTGTTTTGGGAAAAAAAAACAACCACTCGATAGCCTCATCCAAAGACACACGAGTGCCTCTGAATGGATTTACCAACTGGATATAAAGTCTGTGTAAATTGCACACTTTCTGCATACTGGTAAGACAGAGTTGGTTATCTCGTCCTAAAGAAAAAGCAGCATAACTCATATTTGAACTGTTGTAGATCAAAGAATGAGGTCTGGAAGGCACAGTGTGTGCAGTGGCTCCCTGGAGTGACTGCAATAGAATAGCACTTTAAAAGCTTTCTCAAGTAAAACTTTATAGACTGCCTTTGTGATCAATGTTTAGACATTAACTTACTCAGAAAAGTTGCTAGTGCTTCGACAGCTCCATTGTACACTGCGGAGCTGTGAGAGGGGGCTCGGAAATCCCACAGCACTTGGATATAATTCAGCACTTGGTTAAAGCCAGCCGTAGCCAGAGCCCACCACAGGGACCAGTAGAGAAGTTTCCTGGAGCTGTAGCAATCCCTCAGGTCCTTGCTCAGCTGCACCAGCACTCTGAGCATGTGATTCCGGGGCTTGGCATTCCCAGCCTGCTGTTGGGGTGTTGGGCTCCTGCCAGCGCAGTCGGAGCTCGTGTCCTCTTGGCAGCTCGAGGGACGGTCAGAACCGGCCGGAGCCACAACTTTGTCAGGCCCTGGGAGAGACTGGGAGGCATCTTTCCTGTGGAAGAACATGCTCTTCTGGGGCATGGGGAGGAAAAACGCACACAGGAAGGCCAGGGCCACGGAAGCCAAAGAAATGGCGTTGAGGTAGAAGTAGGACACATCTGCCAAGGACACCAGCAGCTGTCCCAGCACGGCGGCAACAGTGGCTGCCACCAGAGTGCTGCTCCTGCAGTAGCTCGTCACCCTCTGGTAGCGGTCGGTGCTGACCACGCTGTAGATGTAGGCGTAATAGGCCACCTCAGTGGCCGTCACCATCCCGTAGAAGAATTCCACCACCTGCATGGCCAGCACTCCGTGTGCGAAGAGGAGCAGGAGCCAGGTGACGATGAGGCTGATGCCCTGGAGGAGGAGGACGGGCTTGTAGCGCAGGTAGTCTGTGAGCAGGAAGACTGGGAACAGGAGGGCGAGGTAGGAGTATGTCCAAACAGGCAAAATCTGGTTGGTAACCTAGAACAGAAGAGGAAATGTCTGTGCCTTTATTCTCAGGAAAAGGAAGTTCATGCATTTTTTATAGCTTTGTAGAGGGAAGTTTTTGCTCTGAAGGAATTCATAAAATATATAACCACACTGAAGCAGCATGGGGCTGTTGGGCAGGCAAATGGATGTTAGATCCATTAAATGGATCTTTTATTTATGCTGTCTGCTGCAAACTGTAACCTGCCAAAGCTGATTACAGTTATGCTTTTTTTTCTTTTGATCTTTGTTTAAATACTTTAAACAAAGTTTTCCTTTTCTATATTTGCTGCTCCAAGTAAAAGAAACATCAGAGTAAAACCATACCTCATCTGTGGTCAGGTTTTTATCTGGTCCTGTTAGATAGGGTGTTAGGAAAGGTTCTGATGGTTTCATCATGTAGAAGAATCCATAGAGGCAGAGAATCAGGGTGGGAAAAGTCCAGGTGTTGCTTTTCTCTTGCTTCCAGCAGCCCATGGCCTCTGCAGCAAAGCCAAAGAGAAGGTTTGTTAGAGGGATGATGCTGCCTATGCAAGTGCAAAGAGGTCTTGTAATTAATTTCTATTTTGTGGTTTCTAATGCTAAGGAGTGCTCTTTAGAGGTTGACAGTTGGAAAACATTTTTCTTTATAAAGTGAACAGCTTTTCCTTACATTTGTCTGCTGCCTCTCTGTCTTTGTAGAAAGTGCATAAAGAATGAATTGGAAGATCTTTAACTGGGAGACAAACTACACTGTCATTCAATGTGCACTGACCAAGATAAACACAGGAAAAGCCTTTCTAGACAGAAGTGGCTGAAGACAGCTGAGCATGGAGATTTCCCTTGACACCACGACTGATCACAGCCAAGCACCTTGTTGAGTGACAAGTAACTAGTTCACAGTTGCTGTTTTTTCTCCCTCGGCTCCTAGATGTGCGTGTCTTTCCTTTCATGGAGAGCTGGTAACTCTGAAGCCCAGCAGGTGGGAGTTGATAATAAATACACAAAGGATATCAAGCCAGACGGTCATTAATGGACAATCTGGAATTAACTGCATCAGAAATCAAGTTTGGATAAAGACATCGTATCTTCCATCTATAAAACTGGTCACGGAAGATAATAGTCTGTACTAAAATGAAATGAAGCAGATATTTTTCATGTTGTCTCTAGGTGAGATGATGGAATAGATTAAAATTTGCTACTCTGCTGGAGAGAGCCCAAAGAGAAGTAAAAAAGGGTGTCATGGGGGCATGCAAAGGAAACAGACAGTAAGTTATAGTCCATATTCATGTTGGTATAGGCAATGTCAGGAATCTAAATGCATACAGTTTATCTTTTGAAGCCCTTTGGAGGTTGTTAATAAGCAGATGGGATTTCCACCATTCTACTTTTGGTTTTTATCTGCTTCCCTCCTGAGAATTTCTCCCTTAGGCAAAAGTTTTAATCTTAAAAATGAAGTAGTGTTTTTCCTCAATTTTTTTTGTAAAAACTGAAGAAAGAGCTATTCAGCCAAAAATATTCATGTCCTGATGAGTACATTTCTCCAGACTGGATGGACAGAGGATGCTCTTTCTCAGGATGTGATATATATAATATATAAGGCAGTAGGCATTATGCATTTTCTTTTCTAACTTCGCAGATGGCAGCACATTTTACTAATGGCCTGATGCACTAAGAGATGGGTGCAGATCAGGGGGAATTGGAATTATTTCCTTTGCTGCATAACGTGAAAACATCAACATTAGAGGACTTGCGGCAGAAACGAACTCAGCTCTGTAGTGTGAACCACTAGAGGGCAAGGCAACCCCAGCAAAGGGAAAACGAGTACGGGAGGATTGTGAGATACTCCAAGCATTTAAGGAAGGAAGCGTTTCTACTCCTCCTCCCTTCCCAGTTGTTGTAATATCGGTCTGGCTTTGGCAGGACTAGTTTCGGCCCTGCCCAGAATAACACTCATTTAGTCACCATAACATCCCTTTGCTTTTATTTCACATGATAATCATTAAAGCTTTACAGCACCCTGATGCCATGTGAACGCTTCATGTGGTATTCTGAGATTCTGAGAAAGGCATCAAAAAGAGTGGGGTGAAGAGCATCTCTTGCACTGTAATGAAGGACATTTGTACAAGTTAGCTCTGTGACTTAGCCAGGCCATACTTTTCCCTTCCCATCCTAGATTCTTTGCTCCAGTCTGTTTTGGGACTTCCCATGTTTGCTCTCCCCACAGCAGGCTGTGTGACACAAGGGCAGAAGGTCTCATGGATCCTTTCAAAACGTCCCCCACCTTGGAGGTGAGTGGGGCAAGCTGCTGTCTGCCCAGGGTTTGCAGGTTGCTGTGTGCTGCCCCTCTGATGCTGCCCATTGGTGGCAGGGCTGCGCCTAATTAGTAATTTATGGTTTGACTGTATACAGTTTGACTGTATACAGAACACCAGGTGTGCCCTGGTCTCTGCATCCCTCCAGCCCCAGCACATGCACTGTTTGGGGGTTTTGGGTAGACATGTACCTCTGGTCGGTAGTTTTTGAGGTGCCTGTGTTAGGCTGGCAGGGAAGTCAGATGAGAAGTTTCCCACTTGAATGAAGCAGCTGTGCAGAAAAAAACCTGCCACTGGTGCTGAGCTGGGAAAGGCAGTGGGCTGAGGGCTCTGAGGGCAGCCCACTCTGCCCTTGGGGAGTGGGAGGTGGGTGCCACCCCATCCACACTGGGGTGTGTGTTCTCCTCACACCCCAGCCCTTGGCCATCAGTGCAGCCCCGGCTCAGCTCTGCAGCTGCTCGTATAACCACTCCTTCCTGCATTCATAACCACAAACCTCTGACAGCGAGAGCTGTGCCTTGGTGCATTAGGGGAAAGGATCCAACTTGTTCCCATTCAGTCACCCCATATGGTCACTTCATATTTTATAAATCTAGGCTTTTCTTAACTTTTCAAGATATGGCAGGATGCCTTGGTGTTATTCTGCAGCAAAACAATTCTCTGTTTCCTCCTGCAATTCTTGGTGCCCGAGCTGTCAGCTCTTCTCCCACACAGTCTGACCCAGCCTGCCAGTTCCCCACCAGACAGCTCTCTTCTTTTCTCCCAGTTTCCCTTGCCACTGGAGGATTTCTGATTTCCAGTGTTCATATATAATCGTACCTTGTCTGCTGGAGCTCTTCCTTTCTTACTTCCAGGGGAAAAGTCTCCTTTAAGTGTTTCCAGTCTTTCTTCTGGCCGTCCTGTGTGTATTGCAGCTACTGGACTCTGTTTGGGTTTTATGCTTTTCCTGTTTTTCTGGTACTTCAACTTGCTCTGACACCTCCTTTGAAATTGCCTCCAGTTGGCTTTCTTTCAGCATCCACGTTCCCTTAAAGGAACAGCCAGATAATCCTGGCCTGTCTTTGCCCAAAGGCAGCAGTAAATCAAGATCAAAACTACAGTTCGGTGCGGACTGGCACATAATCATTAGAGATAATTCTGTTCCCAAAGAATTTTGGATCTATTTGACAGGATAGGTGGCTTTAGACCCACCTGTCCTTCAAACTGCTCTGTATTAAAGATGGAGCAGTAGCTATGTGTGGGTAATGACAGAGGAGACAGAGAGCAGATACCAGTGTTGTAAGATTTGAATGTTTCCCCACTACATACTTGGGGTTTCATACTATTCTGGGAAGTTTAAAAAGTAAAACACCCTTGACTTGTTTCTTGGCAAATTTCTCAGGTTTTGTGCTTAGGCAGGTTCTCACAGTTCTACTGAGGATGGAGATGGCCCACAGTCAGCTTCAGAAGATTCTGTGGGACTCACAGCAGTGGAGTACACTCTCTGAAATGTACAGGTTTTCACAAAAAGGAAAAATCCTACAAATCTAGATCCACTCCCACCCTGTAGACATGTAGGTCTGGAAGGAGGCATATAATAATTACTTAGGAATGTGAGCAGTGCAGTAGGAAAATGTAATTTGTAAATATTTTTAAATAACAGTAAATTGTCCAATCAGAGGAAGGCAGCATCTTGGTTCATACACAGTAAAATGGAACAGTAACTTTAGGGACATAAACATCAATATGAAAAACACATGAAATTCCCTGGGTCAGAGGAGTTGCCCAGCTCAGCCAGTCCTTTGCCTTCAGCCTTGGCCACATTTTGTAGCCTTTTTGCCTCCTACTCCTCGACAGTCAAAGTTACTAGATTAGTGATGTGAGACTGGCCATCCCTGCCTATTTCCTTTGCAGTTTGTTTGTTGACCTTTGTCCATGAAATCACCTACTCCTGTCTGAGATAGTGCTGTTCACTTATCAAGTCACAGAATATCTCGAGCTGGAAGGGAACCACAAGGATCATTGAGTCCAACCCTCTGCTCCTCACAGGACTATCTAAAACTAAACCATGTGTCACCCACATGCTCCTTGAATGCCGACAGATTTTGTAATATATATTAAACTAATACATGAAGGGAATGTAATAATTCCCTTTGGCACTTTCCCAGCTATCAGTCACTGTCTGACACTGATTCCAGAGCTATTTTGGTTCTGCATGTTTAATTGAACCTGTGGCTATAGCAGGTGACAGCTCATCTGAGAGGACACTGTGTCTGCCTGCATTTGGTTGTATTCTCAAGGGCTCTTGCTAAAATGCAGAGAACTGTTGAAGTGAACAGTGTTACTCGGGATTTGCACTGACTTACTGAGGCAAGAATCCAATTTGAATTTCTCAGCACTGAGAAAAAAACCAAAATTCTCTTTTTCCTGTAATGTAACGAGAAAGAATGATTTAAGTAACTTCCAGGCATTGATATTTGCTTTTTCTACGTTCAGATCCTTTTTTATCCTTTATTATTTGTTCTTTCCATAGTCTTTAGTCCATCTTGTTTGTACTTAAACTTTCATCCTTTTTCACTGATTAGATCTGAATGCCAAATGGAAGACTCTAAAAATGTGATGAGCCTTATGCAAGTTTTCGGTCAACTTGAGCCCTATGCCATAAACTGCCTGCAGCAGAGCTTCATTGCTGGGTTTGAATAGGACCATACCCTTTATGCTGGTCCTGCTTGGAGAGATTGTTCTGCTTGGACAGTGGGCTGGGCATCTGTTACTAGCTGGCATCCCAATTCTGTTCAGCTGGGAAAGGGAAGATCCTGTAAGAACTAGAGAAAAGGTGAATTTTATGGTATCTATATATATTTGTTAGTGTATCCTAATGAGTTAATGTAATATGGTCTCTAATGTATCAAGAAGACAGGAAAATTCTGAGAAGGGGCAGAAAAGGCAGTAAGAGAAAAGACTGCAAACCTCTGTCATCCTGGTACTTTCTCCTGCCTCTGCTGCCCCTCGGGCTCGATCCTGGTGTTATCTCTGGTGCTTTGCAGGATGGCACCGAGGCTGAGAGACTCCCCTTGGCTGTGTGAGGTATGTGTCTCCCTCTCTGTCTGTGCTGATTTAGGCACTGACTTTCAGTTTACAAACCACATCTGTTTCTTGACACCTGGCTGACTGAGGCGAGGAGACTTTGCAAATCAAACTGAAGGCATATTCTTTTTGAAGAATGTGTACTATACTCTCAAAAGAAAGCAGTAGCAAAGAAAATTTTCTGTGGCTAACGCTGGAGATTTTTCTCAATTGACGGTCAAATACAACCCACACACAGAAAGGCTGCAATGGCAGCTATGAAGATTAAACTGAATTTTCATTGGATTTCTCAGACCCAGGAGTATTCACAGGGCAAGTTCACTTTCTCATTCATGGATGAGCTGATCTTTATCTTTTCTCATATAAACTACATGCTCGCTTTGGGAACAAGCTGCTCTTTGCAGTCTGGCCCTGAATCCCACAGTGTGTGGGTGAGGGTTTCCACAACTCCCCTCTCAGCTGAATCTCACTCAGGGTTCCTAAGGTGGTGAGACACTCATATGGTGGGCCCAGGTGCTTTTCATCTGAGACACTAAAATGCTTGTATGCAAAGTTTAGTTTGGAATATTTAGCTAAAAGGTACTAAGGGCATTACTCCAAGGAGCAAGTTAGAGAATACATTCAACCACACTAACGTTTCAGGTATTTCGTTTAAATGTAGACTTACAACTGCTTCCTTACTAAAAAGTAATGATGTAAGGTTATTTTTCACTACACTGTACCTTACATAAGGATCATGCCTTTACTTCTTAGTCACTCTTTGTTTTCCTCTTTATTTTACTCTTCTTACTCATGTCACTGGAGTGTGCATTGCCACCTGCACCGTGCAGGCTAGGGGCTTCTGGTAGCAGTGCAGAATCTCCATTTAACCACTGGGCCATTAATTATCACCCTGAGACATTTTGGGGGGTTAATTAATTTTTCTTACAGACAGCCTTTTAGAGGTGCCACACTTGGATGTTTGCACAAACAAGGCCTGGATCTCTTGGTATAATGTGCTACCAACATGGCATGGAGCACACAGAAGTTCTGTGATGGGTTTATAAAGGCTGGTTGAACCTTCTTTGCCTGCAGAGCCATGCTTTATGTCCCCTTTTGTACACTAAGAACTCTGGGTAAGGGCTGGGTTGAAAGGAGTGCTTTGCCCTCTTAATCTTTTGGTTTTGACCACGGAAAGTAAAGTTCCATTACCTTCCGGCAATGTGAGTCACTGGTTGGATTGTCCCTTCTTTCGGTTAGTGTTTCATTGCTAAATTCAATGTAGGTGGCAGGTCACCACTATAGTTGCGAGAGACCAGGGAAGCAGCATCCAAATTATGCTGGGTGTCCTCTTGGAAGCACTGCCAAAGCTTTACAGGCATCCTTATTTGTACCACAGTGACATGATTTGTTCCGTGTCTCTTGCGAAAACCTGTCAGAGGCTTTCGTAGGTTTCCAAATAAAGGTGGTTCCCATTGGCTGAGGACTGGGTTCGTTGGTTGAGCAAGATCCCCCTTTCACTTTCTCACTCATACTGGCACAAAGCACACTTTGGTCTCCCAGTTGGGGGGTGCAAAGCAGTGTGGTTCAGAGGACTCATGGAGCTGAGCCAAAAAACAGTCCAGCATGTGAAAGCATCTGTTGATACTCTTCTGCTACAAAATTTGTTTTTCAAAATGAAGCTGTTTGTGAGTTTTGTGGTATCTTCCTCTTTGTTTTATAGGTCTGAGAATGCTGGAAAATTAAGTTTTATCTTTTTTGTTTGGTTGGGTTTTTTTATGTTTCAAAACTACTTTTGAACAACAGCAACAAAATCAAGCAAGTTAAATAGACGATAAAATTTCCAGGATTGAGCCAGACAGATGATATCTTATGTATGGCCTCCCTCTGGGCATCAAGGTCTATTTTGGCCTTAAATGCCAAATTTATTTCTGTTGTAATTGTACCAATAGCAAATTACTGTCATGAAACTTCTAAAGTGCAGAACCAAAATTCCAAAAATATTGTGATCTGAACTTTACTGGAAGGTGGAGAAAATCTTCCTGTTGCACTGAATGAATGTTACAGCAGGGCAGAAGGGCTTACAGAAGAAGGTTATACCTTAAGTAGTTCCTTTAGTTTTACATTTTTTTTTCCAGATCATCAGTGGAGAACAGGAACTACTACTTTGTCAGTGGGATTCTCTGGGGACTTTCTTTTTAAATAAAATTTTACGAGGACATTGCTGTAGGTTTGCAGCTGACTTTTATGCAAGTGCTGACTGTGGGTGGGTATACTGGGCTCTGGGCTCCTTCTGCCCCCTACACTGTCTGTCAGCTCTTCTAATGGCATAGAAATGTCACTGTTTAAAGGAAGAACAGCAGTTTGGTGTCTCTGGATGCAGTGGGGAAAGATGATCCTGGCAAGGAAAAACTGGTTGAACTTTTGCTGTGACTGCAAATCTATCTTTTACCATCACTTTGATGTCGAGATTGTCAGTGTAGTTCACAAGCTGGTTTTGAGCTCTTCACTTCTGCAAATTGTGGTTGAGACTGTAGCTAATAAGAACATTTTGCTTAATACTTCCTTGATACAAGCTATATGTTACATGTAAGAATTAAACAACAGCTTTCACAAAATACCAAATACTCTAAAAGTTGAGGCCTGTTTTCTCATCAGTGCCAACCCCAGATCAGCCCCATGACACCTATGCTCCCCATGATGAATGAGCCAGCCAAGTTCCAGGAATCCACTTTTGCTGATTTTTTTTTTTTCAGTAGAAATGAAAAAACCTCATCTTTTAAATTCAGCACCATCGCTGTTCCACACAGTAACAAAAAATGAGCAAAACCCATGCTTTTAGG